AAGAAGAAGAAGAAGAAGAAGAAGACGAAGAAGAAGAAGAAGAAGAAGAAGAAGAAGAAGAAGAAGAAGAAGAGCAAGAAGACGACGAAGAAGAAGAAGACGAAGAAGAAGAAGAAGAAGAAGAAGAAGAAGACAATGACGATGATGATGATGATGATGATGATGATGGTGACGGTGATGGTGATGGTGATGGTGATGGTGATCTCATACTACACTCATAGTAATAAAAATGTCAACCTTTCTCAAATCAGCTTTGACGGTTGGAGAGTAAATACTCGATAGTAAATACTACTTCACGGTTCCGCTCGGAAAACAGATGAACTGAAAAAGTGAAAATGACAGCAAAGACAAGCACTACACTTCGGGAAAAAAAGGATATCCCCTGTTCGAAAATCAAGACCACATATGACGCCAGCTGCCTTGACTGCCTGCTGACATTTGTACCACAGCAGAGTCCACTCACTCGTAAGTGTTCATGGTCACGCAAACCGTCGTCGCAGTCCATAAACCGAATCGCCGACGATTTACGACACAGAGAACAGTTTTGGGAAAAAAAAAAAAAACAGACAACACAGAGAAGTTTAGAGAACCAGTTCATACCACAACATTAAACAGAAGATAAAGTTAAGTTAAACACAAAATAGTAATTCTTATGTCTGTGCTTAAAAGGAGGGGGAGAGGGGGGGGAATGGTTAAAAAAAAAACACAAAATAGTAAAATACTAAAATAGTAAATTGTAAAATTATTTTAAAAATCAGCATTGGTTCATAGCTGTGTTGACGGCCGGGCGGCACGGGCTGCCTCAGATTGGCCCGGGTGGTGAGATAGTGGAGATGGTGCAGGGAAACTGCAGCGATTCGTACATTCACACTGAACATACAAGCGCACTCCAAAGGTATGAGCACTCTCGAAACCCGATAGTCAATCCTTTGCAAACTCAAAACGAAACAGTCGTGCATTGAAGTTGTCAAAAAAGAAGAAGAATACAACGATGACTCCATGCACGCATACAACCTTTCCGACACGCACCATGGCAGCCCGCGACACCACGTTTCGACCGGTATCAAAAAAGAAGAAGAATACAATGCTGACTCCATGCACGTGCACAACCTTTCGAGCTCGCCGCACGTGTGACGACAATGCTGCTTGCTCATTGAAGAAGAATGCCTTTCTCGGCCTTTTGGCTAAGTAAGATCAAGTGTAGTATTTTTTTATTCTGTTCTGGTCAGTTTACTATCTGATTCATAACACACACACACACACACACACACACACACACACACACACACACACACACACACACACACAGAAAAAAAAAAAAAAAGAGAAAGAAGAGGCGAACCACTGAACCACATAATGATGAAATGAAATGAAATGACAAAAACAAACGAAGATTTAACTGACCTCTGGGGGTGCGGACAAAACTTTCTTCTTTTGGTTCTTGGCAGCCACATCCAGCCCACGGACTTTGCGTCTACGAACCATAGACATGGGAGCGATACAGTTTTCAGTAATACACCGAACAAAACAATAAGGAAAACGGCAAAATTCCCAAAGAGAAAACGTGGCGAAAATCCATCTGCCGTTGCACTGTTCATTTGACAATCTTCCTCACTCCCGAAGCCTGGATTGCGTGCAGCAAATCACTTTTTTTTTTAAGTTTTTTTTCGGAGGTTAGCCAACTAAGCCCCTAATATTATTTTATAATTTTATTTGTATTTGTTTACTTTAAATGCCCCTAACATGATTTTATTCATCAGGATTTGAAATTTTTGAACGCATGCCTGTCCACCCATCAACAATTTTTTTCTTGTTTTGATCAACTGTGCTGATTTGTGCAGTATGTGTACCTTGCAGCCACAATGCTGGGGGGTAACAAATTTAAACAAACAATAACAATTCTTTTGTTTGTTCACACAGTTTTTATGCTGCAGTAATCCAATCACGAGTGGTGGGAAATTTCGCGCACAAGTCGCCGAATCGTTTGAAGATTCACATCAGCTCAGTTGATCAAAACAAGAGAAAATTGTCCTATCAGGTGCCTGCCTGGGCGTGAAAGGTGTCGACGATACTACCATCCTTTCGGGTCAGCAGGCTTTGAGAAGCAAAAGTCTGTGGTGATTGCTCACTGTTGCCGAATCGTTTGCAGTGACCGTCTCTCCACAACAAACAGCAGTAAAAGTTTTGGCAGGCTCTGTGCACAAAAGTCTACGGTGGTTGCAAAGCTTTCAGCGTGTCATCACTTGCACGTTCTCGCTGGGACTTGCTTGCTTCCCGCGGCCGGATAGTGTGCTGCGACCGTCTCACCACCACAACAAATAGCACTAAGAATAACCGGGAAAGTCTACAGTGGTTGCAACCGCCGGATCGTGTGCTGCGACTGTCTCGCTGGTCAGAGCTCACTGCTTATGGGTGCACCCAGGTTCTCTCCTGTCAGGCAGGGGGCAAAAAAAAGGACTGCTGCAGCAGTGGCTGCAGTGCTGCTTATATTTCCTTGTCACCTACCCGACATGCAAAAGGAAACCTTTTCTAAAGTTTTTTTCTTTTTTCTTTTTTCTTTTGGAACTTTGAAGGGAATTTTGTTACCAACTTGCTACTATTGTCAAAGCGTTTTTGTCGGGGCCTACTTGGGTCTGATCTCCAGTCCAGAAAATTCGACAAGTCCTATGTGTGTGTCCAGGGAAAGAGGATAGTGGTTCTACGTCAAGGTCCCAGGCTCAAATCTTGACAGCAGCGAACATGAAAACAGTAATAAATTACTAATAATAGAAATAGCCTATACTTTAACCTTGTGTTTGGGCCAGGTTCAAGGTTTGAATCCTGTCGGAGACCAGACTAAAGAAACAGAGGAAAACAAAATTGAAAAAAGTATGATTAACTTTGAAGTTTGAACTTTGAGTTAAGTAATTGAAGTCCATAATAACTTCATATAACTTAAAAGTTTGACTTTGCAGTTCAATTCAGAACGTCAGAGTCTTCGGACTGGCAGTACTGTCAGTGCTCTCTCTCTCTCTCTCTCTCTCTCTCTCTCTCTCTCTCTCTCTCTCTCTCTCTCTCTCTCTCTCTCTCTCTCTCTCTCTACAACGGGCAGTGGCGGGGCCCAGCACGTCAAAACGGCTGCTTTGAAATTGCTAGGGCCTGTGTGAAAATCGCCACCCCAAAAACCTGCAGTGTCTTGTGTCCGGGCCTCTAGGCCCTGTCCGGTGGGGTGAAACGACACGGAAAAATCACCTCGTTATTTTTTAAGGGGGGGCTGGGAGCCGAAAAACGTCCTGGGCCGCCCCTTTTATTTTTTTCGATTTTTGCCCTGGGGGCCTCCATCCAGACATCATGGACCGGACACCGGACCCGGACATGTTGTTCCGGACTGTATATAGCCCGGTCCGGACATCCAGTCGGTTACCATGGGGAAAGTGAAGGGTCTGGTTCAACGCAACTAGAAAACTCTATAATTGCTTGTCACGCGCCATTGCTCTGCACGCTAATCTCATTTCCGAGACTGCAAATGTGAAAATGTCTGCAGCACAAATCCTAAAGATTCTTGTTGGATTCCTTGCTTCCCCTCCCTCGCCCTCCCGCCCCCCCAAAGAAAGAAAAGAAAAAGAAAAAAGATTCTTGCATGACACATCCATTTTCGTCCTGGAAACTCGCCCTAGGACTTTCCCCGATGTATTCCGGCCTGGCGAGGATGCACCTGACCGCTATTACGTCCACAAAGAAGTGGATAAAGTCGTAGTGTGAGTATGCCCTCAAGGTACCTTCCGTTGAGTTTCCAGGACTGAAAATGGCAGGCCCCCATCTTTTTTTTTTTTTTTTTGTCCCCATCTGCAAGGAAAATGAGGGATAGCGAAATGACAGTAATCCATAATGCAAAATCACATTGAAACTTGAAAGCCAGAAAGTCCAACGCTGTCCAGAAAGCAGAAATGCACACCGAATCCGAATGTCAATGAGAGCATACTCTCACCACCACCAACATATGTATCCAGAGCCCTTCCTCCTACTTGGCGCTCAGCGCCCAGACTACGACCATTATGTTGATGTCAGCAGCAACAACCGAAGTACATGAAGATGTCGACCCTGTAGACCATCGCCAAGACCAGGTACGTGCCCTCACATCATCATCCTCATCTCTCTCTCTCTCTCTCTCTCTCTCTCTCTCTCTCTCTCTCTCTCTCTCTCTCNCTCTCTCTCTCTCTCTCTCTCTCTCTCTCTCTCTCTCTCTCTCTCTCTCTCTCTCTCTCTCTCTCTCACACACACACACACACACACACACACCCTCGACTTCTGCACCCACGTCTTCTCCACCACCACCTCCACTAGCTAAGTCCAAAGTCCCAGCCTGGCTATGAAGGCTGGCCTACGGTGCTGGCCTCAGCAGCACCCTGCTCCCCCTCTCGTTGCGCGTGCGCGCTTCCACCTTAGCGCGCAGCAGCCCGTGAGCACTTGCTCCAGCAGCTCTGCCACATCTACACGTGAGTGCCCGAATGTCCTCCCATCGGCTAGGCACTTTGCTATATGCAAAGGGGAAAGTGACCTGGCTGGTTGGCTGCCTGGCCTGCCTCACGTGTGCCTCGTAGCTTCAGGTAGGGGCAAAGTGGCTGCGCCCAGGCCCTTTCAGACAGCGGCCTGGGACCGAATTGGATAGGCATGCCCAACCACCCAGGCACAAATGTGCGGTGTTCCCTGCTTCGCGGGGGGCCAGGGAGGAAGGGGTAAGAGGGGAGGGGGTGCAGTCAGCCAAACACTAATAAACAGTCAAATTAATATTCAAAAAAAAAAAGGTAGGATACTTACATGTAATCCTGAGGCATGTCAGCCTTGGTGAACAACGGAGGAATCAACGACATCTGTTCATCCTCGTCAAGACTTCGCAGATCGTCTTTCCCTTCTGACAACCACAAACAGACATGAAAACCCGGAAAAAAAAAAAGCGCAAGCACCTAGTCAGACACCAGAGTCTGGGGCAGCCATAATAGTAACTTTATCCAGACTTGTTTTTTTCAGGGGAGGTGAGATCCCAAAAATTGCCTGGACAGCATTCTTCGTCCCCGATGACACATTTTCAAGGACGGATGGCTAGCAACACAGAATCAGACCCTGCAGGACGGCCCAGGTAAGCGGGACACTGCCCAAAGCAGGTTGGAAATTATTTTATCCCAGGAACAGGGTTGCACGCCTGCCGACCGCCCAACCCCGACCGCCGACCGTTTTGCAGCCGACCAGTAGGGCCTATCGGTCGGCGGTCTGCCAACCAGTCAGAAAACAGCCATCTTCTGATTTTTTTTCAAATCTGAGTTAGGCGCTGTACTGCGATTGCTGAGTACAGCCCAAATCCGCTAAGAAACTTTTCGGGATGTGGAGAGGTGGGAGGGGGTCGGGGGGGGTATAGGGGGGTTATAAGGGGTATTGGGGAGGGCAATGAGGGTGTTGGGGGGCGATTTGGAGGTGTTGAGGGGGTGTATAGGGGTATTGGAGGTGGCTGAGGTAGCCAGACGTGCCCTTCACTTCTACAGATTTTAAGGGCAGAGGGGGGAAAAATAGGGCCCCGTATTCCTCATTGCATATAGCATTTTTTCTGAAGGTGCCCCAGCAGAGAATCTGCAGGGCTCATATTTTTCGGCGGAGACACTCGACGAATTTTGGATGAGCGAGGAGCAGCCCAGCAATATATCTTCTGGATCCGAATTCAGGTCTGTGTTCCAGCAGTTATGGGCTACAACTACTTAACTGCTGTAGCTCTCTCTTTTCTTTCTTTTGTTTTCCTTTTCCTACGAGCAGTGGCCCTAAGGGCCTGGCTCCACTCGTCACCACTTGCACAAAAGACAAAACATATGGCGGCGTACGATTCCATGTTCTAGCAGAAGATTCATTCTAGTTTTGCACATTTGGTGAGTAGCCGAGGGGAGCCCTGCTACACCAGATAATAAAAAAGTTAAAAAAAAAACATCGACAAAAATCACATTGTGGCAGTTTGCTCGTTCGCAATGGTGCGTCTCCACCTCCTAATGAGTGAACTCCTATGTGTTTCCAGGTCGCTTCGTCGGCCAAGTATCCTCGCTATCCGCTTCCCTTCTCCACTCATCGACCCTCTCTTCCTACCCCCCCCCCCCCCCCCCCCCCCCCCCCAAAAAAAAAAAGTTAGAAAAAAAAAAAGTTTTCCACGAAGGCGAGGGGCCATTGACCCCTCCCCTCCACCTCCTCTTCTTTTCTTTTTTAATCAGAAAAAAAAAAAGAAGCGCACAAATGAAGACAGAGACAACTACGATAGAGCACTCACCACCCTTCCCTTCTCCACTCTTCGACCCCCTCTTCCTCCTTTGATCGCTCCGCGCATGAAGGGCTGGCACATATTGGAAGTCTGCTAGACCTGCACATACAGTGTTCTGTGTTCACCATCATGCAACTGCTGCTGATCCCTCAGATTGAAAAAAAGAAAAAAGGTAACTACATAAATAATTTACAATAAATCAAATAAATATTATATGCGATCAATACAAGATCAAGTTTGATGAACTAATACACGTCTGTTTTTTTTTTTCCATTTCTTCTGTGTGTGTGCATGTGTGATTTAAACTGATTTTGCTTTTCTTTTTGGGGCGGGGGGGGGGGGGGGGGGTTACAATTTTATTTCTATTTTTATTATTAAAAAGCCCTTGTGCCAGCCCTCTATCCCAGCGGTCGTACGAGAACCGCCAGGATTGAGAGCTTGTCTGTCCGGCTGCTCCATCGATTGGTGGGGAGCAGCACCTGCTGGAAACCAGGTCCAGCGTCCCATTGATAACTTGATACATCTTGTAATTCAGCAATTGTTGGCCATTGTTTCCTGGGGCTGTGGTTATTTGTCTTGCTGGTCTGGGACTCCATTGTCGCATGGAGCTGCTAGTAACACCCATCCCATCTTGGAGCGCCCCTTATCTGTTAACCCAGCCCTGGATGTCCGGCAGCCCCCCTGATGGTTGTTTCGTTGTCTGACTTTTTAAACCCTTTAAGTCTGGCAAAGAGTCAAAACTGCGCATTAGAGAACAAGGGACAAATAAAAAAACGGAGAACAGGGACACGGTCCACTATCCCACAGGATAAGACATTTCTTGATCCTTTGCAACACGATTTTCGGAATCGAAAACTCTTCTGCAAGGAACGAGCCCCTCGCAAGGCAACTAGTTGACGTAGTCAGAGCGCAGGGGGCCCTTGAGCAAGTACAGCGCCCGCCCCCAGAGAAGGTGGGCCTGCAATTCCATTTGCCGCCTATTTTTGGCCATTTCTGCACTTTGGGGTGCCAGACAGTTACCGGCCGTGAGTTGGCTACTGGCCCCTAGGCAGGCTGTGTGACCGATACATCCAGAGCCTTCCAGGCTCTTCTGGCAGCGATGTGGGGACTGCCCTTTCGGCCAATCAGGAAGCAGCGAGTGATGTGAGCCACGTTGCACAGTTGGGCGTGCCTAACTGTTCCGGTCCTAGGCCACTATCTGAATCGGGCCTGGGTGCAGACACTGTGGCCCGTCGTCAAGCTACGGGGAACTCGGCCGCCAGGCCCAGGCAGCCCATATGAGCGCTGCACTTTCCATACAGGCAAGTGCCCGGCGCCCAGCCAGGCATTCTGGCCTTGCGCATTCTTGCGGCCACACTGCCCAACTGGGAGCTGGAGGGCTGCTGCACACGAGGCTGGGGTGCTCATGGGCGCTACTGAAGGAGAGTGGGGCGCCGCAAGAGGGCAACGGGCGCGAGGCAGCCATAGCCAGGCTTGCCTCGCTGTTGCTGGTGATGGTGATGGTGGTCTTCAGGCGCAGGGAAGAAGCACACTGTGGGAGGAGAAGGTCATGGGAGAGAGAGGGGAGAAGGGACATGTACCGGATGTGTAAGCGGTGGTCTGCATGGGCGACTTCCTTCGTCATGTACATCGTTCTTCAACTGAAGTGTTTCCCGGTTGCATCTCGTAGCTGTAGGCTAGTATAGGTGAGTTGAGTAGTTGTAGGCTGGCCTGGCTGGGAACCGAACGCCAGAAGAGAGGAGCAAAATTGGATACATTGTTGATGGTGGCGAGAAGGGCTGACATTGGCATTTGGGTTCATTGAATTGCTCTTATTTGGCTTGTGACTTGGCGCTTATTGCTTTCGGCTTGGTACACGACTATCTGGTCTTCAATGTGATATTGCAATTTGGTTTGCTGTCAATGGGTCTCGCTCATTTTCCTTGCACTTACATGAAAAAAAATCGAAAAAACAAAGAATAGAAAAAAAGATAATGGGAAACAAAGGGACTGCCGCATGCCTAATCGGCATAGATCAGAACCAAAAACCAACCTCTCAGAGATAATACAAAAAATAGCTCAGTGGAAGACTGAAATACCAGGATCTGACTCAGTCATGGACAATGACAGGACCGGACAACAACCATCATCACATGGGTGTGAATGGACTCAGTGCTGCAAACATAGGAGATGCGCTGAGTCCGAATGCCTACACGCCGTACACGGACAAAGTGGGGGAGAAGAGACGAAGCGGGGAAGAGGAAGATAGGGAGGATCAGCCACCATAGCCCGATGAACCCAGTCTCCAATGTATCCCCAATGTCGCCGCTCATACAATGTCAAGTCGCAATGTCACTGAACCGGGCAAAGCCCGAAAGTCACAAAGTCCCAACGTCAACTCTCTCTCTCTCTCTCTCTATCTATCTATCTATCTATATATATATATATATATATATAGAAGAAGAAGAAGAAGAAGAAGACAGAATCCTTTCTCTCTGTAACCAGGTATTAACCTGCAGAAAGGTAGCGCCTTGATGCAGGCACAGACGTGCTGAAGACGAAGCTCGAGCTATGGCGTCAAAGGTCCCCTGGCCTCTGCCCAGACTCTCCCTACTCCCTAACTCCCACTCCAGTGTGCTGCATTCCAAGCTCGATGCCGAAACCTAACACAGCGCCAGGGCTCTGAAGACTACCAGCCTCTACTCTGAAAATTACTCAAACTACTACCTGCTGGAATGGAGGAGGGACAGCTATATATAGTGCTGGTCTGTCCGAAGTCCAGCCTCAAACTGCCCAGTAACTGCTGCGTAGCCGGCCCAGCATCTGAACTGGTGCCAAAACGAAAATGAAACCAAAATGTGTCAAACTGGAAACTGGCGCCTCAACCCAAAACCTGGAAACTGGCGCCTAAACCCTAAACCTGGAAACTGGCGCCTAACCCACAATGTATCAAAGCCTGGTCAGTCCTGGTACGGCCCTACAACGGACCCCTAACAACGTAGGCCCTAACCCAGACCCTGGACTGAAATTGTACTGGTCCTAACAGCCCGGGTAACAGCCCTAGACTACACCCTAAGACCCCCGACTCCTACTGGTGGGCACTGCAGGGGGCCCGCGTGGGGACTGTGCATGCCACAGGGACTTTTCATGAGCCAGCCATGAAATCCGCACTGGGGAGAGAGAGAGAGAGAGAGAGAGAGAGAGAGAGAGAGAGAGAGAGAGAGAGAGAGAGAGAGAGAGAGAGAGAGAGAGAGAGAGAGAG